GGGCCACCTACTACTAATAACAATAATAATAAAATGAATTGCTGAGTAGCCTGCTCTGAATGATTAACTCTGCAAAGGCTCCACTAGGAACTCCACAAGCTTTTATGTGAACCTCCAATCCCATCCAACCCTAATCCCCTAATCTCCCCTGCCACCCTTCCCACCCTTCCTCCCTGCCCCTCAGCTCTGAGGGCTGAAATCTGAGTTCTGCTACTGGGGCCAACCCTCTGCAGTCAGCATGGCCAGGGTTGTGTTACCTCATTGAATCAAGACCATAGCCTCAGAGGAGGCATGAAATCAGAGAGTGCCTATTCAGATTTTATAGCTGAGAGGTCCTTGGGCACAGAACCAGTCTTCAGTGAAATTTCAGGCAGGAGAACTCTGGGCCTCTGAGCTGAGTTTCTACAGTTACAAAACGGGGCTCCTTACTCTAGGAAGTGCTCGGTGCTATGGCTGGCACATCACCCCACATCTCAAGTCAAAGGCCTTCCTGGGCCTGCCTGGTGACCCAGTTATGGCTGGGATCCAGGCCATACCCATAGGGAATTGAGGCTTTATGACATTCACACCAGAGAGGTTGGATACCAGAGTCTCAGAGAGCCTCACCAGCAAACCAGTTCAGGAGAGGGAACTGTACAATGAGCAGCTTTGGTGGGGGTAAGCAATCATGCTCTGCTAATAAACCCATCAGAATACATCCTCTCCCAGCCCCCTCAGCTTCTGGGTGAGCCAGAAGGAGGCTCTTCCATAGCCTCCTCTACTCTTTGTTAACAGAGTTGCCATGGCAACCAGATTCAGGGAGAACTCTCTTCAAGGTAGAGTCCAGGGGTGACACTTGCATAGATGGAAGTGGTAGTGACAACAGGCAGGAGCCTGGCCTCCCACTACTCCCTAGAGACCTTCCCCCTCACCTGTCCCAGTGGTTGTGGATCTGATCCCTTCTCTTCTCCGTGAATACGGATAGTACAATAGCCTGGGCGAGACACCCTCTTGCCTCCACAGGCTCCCACAAATCTGTGCCTCTGCCTTACCACACACAACTACTCACAGACTTTCACACACTTCCCACAAATGTTTGCTGAATCTATCAGTGCAGACACCATTTCTGAGCTCAGGATTCATTTGGGGACAAGCAGGTATAGACATGACTCCAAGGGGTCACAGACTGACAATTATACAGAGGCAGCACCAGCAGAGGCTCAGGGTACCTGGCACAACATGTGCATACAGAAAGGCAACCCCAGGAAGGCTAGGAGCTGACAAGGTGGGGAGAGAGGCACCTGCATGGAAGCAGAAGGCTCTGAGTATCTTTATAAAGAGAAGGTTAAAAAGGTCATCTGCCTGTGGTGTGAAAACAGACTGCAGGGGAAAGAGGCTGCTGCAGTTGTCCAGGCCAGGGGAAGGCCAGGTGAAGGATGTCTGGGAATAGGGACAGTGAATGCCTGTAGATGTCCACATCTCTGAATACCAGTTCCCTGGAGTGAAGGGAGCACAGCAGATTGGAGTGGGAAGTGAGGATGTGAAGTGAACAAGCAGAGAACATGACTTCAAAGTCCACCTGTGCAAGGTGGACAAAAGGTTGGAAAATAGCTGCAGAGGGAGATAGCTGAGAAAGATCTGTTGTTGTGTTTAAGCTGGGAGAAACTTTATGCAAGTAATTTCACCTGTCAACCAGGACAGCAACACCTCACCTATGAGGAGGTGCTGAAAGAACTGGACAAATGGAACAAAGTGCCCTCTGAGTGCCCAATACAGTGCACCATGAGGCTGGCTTCCTGACTCAGGGTACTTACCATGTATATACCATAGGAGAAATGGGCTGCTCTCCTCTGAAGAGTCAAGGAGACTCACTCTCTTCCATGAGCTAGTGCTTGCCCACCACTCCCTGAACTCACCCTGTACCACAGAGAACACCACAGCCTGCTCAGAAGGAACATGGCAGGATCTGAGCTCCTGCTGCCACCATGGACAGTTTAGGATCAGCCTGCCCCTGCCCATTGTAGATGACCATGATGGAAAGAGGGACGACAGGCACTTTTCTCCTGTGCTGACTACATCCCAGCACCGCTGCACTGACCTTGAGGAGCCTCCTGTCAAATAAGTGAGATGGGCAGAAGCTTCCCAGGGCAGGACCACTGGGTGTTGTTCTAATCATGCTAAAGAGCAACTATGCAATTCTTACAAAATGTGGTTCTTTTTCAGATGAGAGCATTCAGACACCTGAGGTCATCACACTGTCCACCCTCAGGCAGGGACAGCAAGGGGATAGGTATCACTCACACCCCCACCCCACCCTGGCCCTGGCAGGCATCAGAGTGGATGCTAACACTTTCACACTCTTGGTGACACCTCTAAAATCCTCTCTTTTCATGGCCTAAAGCCCATCCCAGGAAGCCCATTCCCAAGGCTCTCTCTGCCCCAGGGAGCCTGCTCTTCCACCCTTGCCCTGGCCCTCCTACACTCTGGGCAGTCCAGGACATTGTGGGGCTTTTTGTTTCCACGGTTCCTGCCATTCCACTGCCAGGCTGACTTCTGCTGACCTTTCCAAATCTGCTCCAGGTTTGTTAGACTGGCACTTCTTGGTGTCCCCAGTGCAGGGACATTCTGAACGGGTCCATAGAGGCCAGCCCCCTTTGGGCCCCCTGGCGGCCGAGGCATCCTTTGCATTCACTCTCTGATACACATATATACACAGCCCTTTGGGCCCAGGAAGAGATGAGAAGGGCATGCACTCTGAAAAGAGAGGAAAATGGCCTCCTCAGACACTCTCAGGTCAGAGGGCTCTGACATGCGACCAATAGGTGTCAGAGGCCCTCCCTCCATGGCAGTTTCCCTGCTGATACCACTTGAGCCTCCATGATGATGACCTCCCTCCTCAAAACTTCCTTCTCAGACTCTGCCTCTGCCTGGAAAACATGTTACTAACTAAACAGTCATCAGATGGAGGTAGGTACCCAAACACAAAGGAACAAGCAACAGCCTGGACTGCACTGGGGTGAGTTGGAGACACTGGAGGCAGATCTCAGTTCAGAGAAAACCAGTCCTAGTGACCAGGGCTGTAGCTCCCTCCCTCTGGAGGGAACAGGGAGGAAGGTCATCTGCAGGGACAAAGATAGATGGGCCAGGACTGGGGGCCACACTGAGCTACAACTACCTGGACAGGTCCTGATCTGCATCTCCGTCCCTTCTACCATGGCCCTGGGACCCACCCCCAGCAGGCCCTGTGGGGAAGCCAGGGGGCACTCTTCTAGGAAAGGGTCACACAGATATGTGCACCCTACATGAGCCACCACCACGACCACCACCACCACCAACCCCTACCCCAGGGAAATGGCTGGACCTTAAAGGCCCAGCTTCTATCCCTGCACCTTCACTTGACCTATTTGACAAATGTGGCTCTGTGACACATGTGGCTTGAAAATGAGATTCTGTGGTTAAAAACCAACAGTCAGCCAAAGCTATTACAATCCTGCTCATCCCTCTCTTATTTGACTGAAGGAGACAGGTGGGCTCAGAGGCTCTCAGGCCATCCTTGAGCATCTGGCCTCAGTGTGCTCTCCTCTGGAGGGCCAGGTGACAGAGAAGTGGGTCTGTTCCTCACCTGCCTGGGGGGCCACTTGTGCTAGGGACACCCTCCCCACTCAGCTAGGCCCACCAGCCACTGCCCTTGCTCAGGCCTGATCAGCACAAATGCCATTGGTCCCAGCATTTCTCCTTCTTCCTTCTCTGTTTGCAGTTATTAAGTTATACCAAAATAAAAAACAAACAAACACACAAACAAAAAAAACCCCTCCACTCTGTGTGAACTGTTCCATTTCCATGATTATCCAGGTGGAAGGGAGCCATCAGGCTGGCAAGTTTGAGAAAACAAACTTGCTGGCTGACAATCAGGTACCATGGCATACGTGAAGACACTTGTTTGTGCTCCCAAACCCAGGGGCCATTTGTAAGAGTGCACAGCTGCCCTGGGAGTGTGTGTGGGTCTGAACTGATCACTGCTTTCCCAGGAGCCTGTGAGTTCTGCTGCCCTCCTGCCAAGGCTGCTGGGTCACTATAGCCCAGATCCCTAATAAGAAAAAAGTGCTGGAGGAATAGAGAACTCAAGTGCCCCAGCCAAAGTCCTACACTTCCTCCTATTCAGCATCCCCTCCTTCTATTCTAGGCTGGGATCCTTAAGTTCCTCTGCAAAGTGTCCCCATATGTCAGAGAGGGAAATGTCCTCGTAAGTCACTGAAACCCTGGTGTCATTCTACAGATGGGGAAACTGAGTCTCGGAGGGGCCTGCAGATGTCAAGACTTGTGGCCTACGGACTCCCTAGTTCTCTGCTTGTGACCAGAGCTGCAGCTTGCTCTCTAGGGTCCCTTTCCAGGCAGGAAGAGCCTGGACCCAGGTAAGGCTGAGCTGGGCAAGACTGCCCAGAGGGAAATGGGAGACCCCTGAGGAGCAGAACAGGCCACTACCTCTGTGAGGTTCCCCTGCATTCCAACCTGACTCTATGTCCTGGGCCTCTGGGGCTGGTGGCCATCTAGGCCCTTTCCTTGCTCCAGAGGGTGGGAGAAGAATGACATTGGTAGGGAGGATGAACCAGATGGGACTCCCAGCTCTAAAGTCGCCACTATCTCATCCCCAAAGCAGCGCCCAGAAGGCAGGCAGCATCCCTATGAATATACATCAGCTTCAGCCCTCAGAAGCGGCTACCAATGCAGGGGCAAGGGCCTTCTGAGTGTCACTCCCTAGACAGCAGGAGCCCTCTCCTGCAGCACACATGCATGCAATCAGAAAGCTGCACCTCCTCCAGGCTTTGCTCCTTGCTCCTTGCAAGGCCTGGGGCAAAGGGAGCATGGTCCTTCAAATGACCCTGCCCACGGTACAGAGGGAGCCACTTCACCCAGGCTGGCTCCCCTCAAATTAGGAGCTCACCCTCAATTCCTCTCCAAGTAGCAAGGGAGTGAGATGCCTTTGCAGGGCCCAGAAGGCAGACTAGCAAATGGAAACTTACAACTGCGCAGCTCCGAGCTCCACGGATTCTCCAGCCTCCTCTTCCACGCTGTGGCAGCCGGGACAGCAGACTTGACTGCCAGTTCCCACCCCCGCCTGCTGCGTGCTCTTCCCCACACCCAGGCCAAGACCGCCCGGTGCCCTGCAGGGTCCCTGGGCTGGGGATCCCGTCTGTGTCCATCAGTGGGTGGAGTTCTCTGCAATTCCGCTCTGGGCACCCGCCCACCCTCCTTCGCGCACATCCCGAGGAGCGCGCGGAGAGACTAAGGATGGGCAACTGCTGCCTACCTGGGTCCAGGCCAACGTAGCTCCTGCACAACCTTGGCACCTCAGTCGCGCCGCGGAGAGCAGCGCCTGGCGGGCGCTGGAGGCTCAGGCTCTGCCTGGGGCCAGCGGCACCCGCCCACCCTCCGCCCCCGCGCTTTGCCAGCTGCAGGTAGAGCAGCTCGCTTGGTAACTGGTGCGGGGGAGCCAGAGCGAGCAAGCAGCTCTGAATGGGTCGGGGAGCGGGCACTGAGCCGGCAAGAAGCGAGGGTGGGGGCGGGGGTGCAAGAACTAGGGAAGAGGTAGGGTGCCAGGAGGGCGCATTGAGAGGGGGACCGAGGCGCCAGGAGAGGTGGAGTGGGCAGCCAAGACGCTTGGGCGAGAATCGGGGATAGAGGTGGAAAAGGGGTGGGGGGGGGCCGCAGGGAGAGAACGGGCCAGGCTTTCACTTTTAAAAAGATCGGGCAGCAAACAACCAAAAAGGTAATGTGCCACCTCATTTGAAAGATCATTTGGGGACTTCAGCAAGTTGCCGATGTTTTTATCAGTGACATCTGACAGTGAAAGCACTTCCGTGGGCAAATCCTGATCCCTATGATTATTCCCTTTGACCATCACAACCACTTATAAATCTGGTATTGATTTTGTACCCACTGGGCAGAGAAAACTGATGGTCAGGGAAGTGAAGTGACCCTACAGGATCTCTGTAGTCTCAGAGCAAAGGTCCAGACTCACCTTGAAATATTCCATCGTCCCCATTTTTCAAAAACACTAAGAAAAGGATCCAGATCTTCTGGCTTCCTATAGAGCCTCCTGTGTCTCTGAAGGGACATCCCTCTGCTCTGGCGACAACCACAGGAGCCCAGAGTGACCCTTGCAAGCAGCCCAGACTCAGGTATTGGCCAGGAAGCCTACAGGGTGGAGATGGCTGGATGGAAGAGTGGGGAGGTGCCCTATAGCCTCCCTTGGAGAGACTGAGGACCTTCCTTATTCATTCATTCAGCTCATGTTTATTGAACACTTACTGTATGCCAGGCGCCATGTCTGGGCACCATGATCCTGGTGTCAGTGTCCCTGTGTGGCTGAAATGCATTCTTGTAGGAAGCATACAATAAAAGCACAACAAAAACATTTCATATGCCAAATGATGAAGATTCTGTAAGGAAAAGTATGGCAGGAAGAGATAGGGAGTGCAATTTGTAGAGTTATTTTACTTTGGTTAGTCAGGAAAATCTTTGCTGAAAGGGTGGCTGAGGCAAGCCATGATGAGTTTGAAGAATGAACATTTGAGGCAAGGGAACAACAAATGCAAAGGCTCTGAGATTGGAATATGCCTTGGGCTTGTGCAGGCAATGAGGACAGAGTGGTGTGAAAATGAGTGAAAATAGAGAGATTCCAGGAGCTGCCAGAGTGAACAGATTAGGAAGAGCCTGGTTGGTCACTGGCTCTGACTCAGAGGGAGTTACAAAGCTGGTGGAGGGTTTTTGCAGACTAATGTCATGGTCTGACATTTGTAGTATAGTTGTTTTTTTTAATCATTTGATTATGGAACTTTTCAAATATTTACAAAAATAGGAGCTAAGAAGGTATAATAAATCCAATGGCCCCACTTCAATGATTATCGATACAAGGACAATTTTGTTTCATCTATACCCCCATCCACCTCTCCATATATTATTTATTATGTATGTTTTGTAAATATAATCTGTATAGGTGATAGTACACAAATTATAAATTTGTGCTTGATTGATCTTCAGTTAGAACATTAATAATCATCTTGATTTCCACTGTGGGAAGGTTTTAGATTACATATTCATATTCTTTAATAGATATAGTACTGTTAATGTAGGTAGCTAGATAATAATAAATAAAGGGAATCAGCAAAGGAAATCAGACATTAAGAAGCCTAATAAACTGGGAAGCTGAATCCAATATTGGGTCTGCTTCACTAGGAAGCTACAGCTTCACATGCTCCCCAGGACTACTGGTTTGTTCCCAACAGATTGGGTGTGGAGGGGGATGAATAGAACAATAAAGTAGAAATCCCTGTGCTGTGCACATGCCCAATAGAAGCCAAGATGGCACAGTGGAATGTGCCTTTACTATGAGGCCTGCACAGTAGGAACTAAGATGGTGACCTTATGGCCTATCTGTCTAGCCTGGGAAATGATTGGATTGGACAATGGACACAGGATCCAGAAAGATTTAGGAAATGAATTGTTTGGGGGAAGGACCCAGAGCAGCCTGTGAAAGATCAGGAAATTGATTGGTTAGTTTGAAAGAATATCTTGTTGTTCCTAAACCTGAAACATATAAACCAAGTTTAACAAAGAGAGCTTGCTCTCTGTTTCTATCCCTGCCCTGCCCCAGTAATGTGCTCAAGCATTCTCTCTTCATAGCAGCCATGGGTCTAGCAGCTGCATGGCCAGCAGCACTGCAGACTCAAAGTGTGGGCCTGAGCACAGCACCAGTGAAGTGCAGCTGGGAACACAGACTAAGCTAGCTGGGTGAGAACAGATATGAAGTGAACCAATGGCATCAAGTGTCTGAACACTGGCCCTGCTACTGGGCCTGATGAAGACATTGCTGAACTTTTTTCACAGTGGAATGGAGATAAACTCAGGAAACCCTTTGTGTTTATGTCAACTTCAATAAACCTTACCACTTATCCTCCCATACATTGGACTCCCGGAATGCTTTCCTTGCAACCCTGTGAAAAGACCCCATTTCCACCAGCAAGAGGACCATGCAGATTGTTCACTTCTTCCTATGTTGCTTTTGGTAAATTACATTTTTGAAATAGTTTCAAATAAATCAATTCTTTGATTTATTGACATGTCCATAACATCCTTGAATTATCCCTCAGATGTCTGCAGAGTCTGTAGTGATGTCCCAATTTTCATTTTAATATTGGGGATCTTTGTGTTTTTTTAAATACATTTTATTGATTATGCTATTGCACTTGTCCCAAATTTTCCCCCTTTGTCTGAACAGTAGCACCCTTCTCTCCAGCAATTCCCTGCCCCTTAATTCTTGTCCATGGGTTGTGCATATAAGTTCTTTGGTTTCTCCATTTTGTATACTTTTCTAAACATGCCCTTGTCTATTTTGTGCCTACCAATTATGCTGCTTAAAACCTGTACCTTTTCTCTCATTCTCCCCTTTCCCCCTCCCAGTTGATAACCCTCCAAATAATCCCCACATCCATGATTCTGTTCCTGTTCTGATTGTTTGCTTAGTTTTTTTTTTTTTAGATTCAGTTGTTGATAACTGTAATTTTTTTTGGCATTTTAATGTTCATAGTTTTGATCTTCTTCTTTTTCTTAAATAAGTCCCTTTAACATTTCATTTAATAAGGGCTTGGTGATCATGAGCTTCTTTACCTTTACCCTGTCTGGAAAGCACTTTATCTGCCCTCCCATTCTAAACGATAACTTTGCTGGATAGAGTAATCTTGGATGGAGGTCCTTGACTTTCACAACTTTGAATACTTCTTGCCAGTCCCTTTTTGCCTGCAAAGTTTCTTTTGAGAAATCAGCTGAGACCTGGCTGACATAACTCAGTGGATTGAGTGCGGGCTGTGAACCAAAGCATCGCAGGTTCGATTCCCAGTCAGGGCACATGCCTGGGTTGCAGGACACGGCCCCCAGCAACCGCACATTGATGTTTCTCTCTCTCTCTTTCTCCCTCCCTCCCCTCTCTAAAAATAAATAAATCTTTAAAAAAAACTTACTTTAAAAAAAGAAAAAAAATCAGCTCATAGTCTTATGGGAACTCCTTTGGAGGTAACTCTCTGCTTTTCTTTTGCTGCTTTTAAGATTCTCTCTTTATTTTTAACCTTTGGAATTTTAATTATGATATGTTTTGGTCTGGTCCTCTTTGGGTCCAGCTTGTTTGGGACTCTCTGAGCTTCCTGGACTTGTATGTCTAGTTCCTTTGCCAAATTAGGAAAATTTTCTTTCATTACTTTTTCAAGTAAGTTTTCAATTTCTCGCTCATCCTCTTCTCCTTCTGGCATCCCTATGATTTGGATGTTGGCACATTTGGAGCTGTCCCAGAGGCTTCTTATACTATCCTCATTTTTTTGAATTCTTATTTCTTCTTGCTATTCTGGTTAAATGTTTATTTCTTCCTTATGTTCCAAATCATTGATTTGAATCCAGGTGTCCTCCCCTTTACTGTTGTTTCCCTATAGATTTTTCTTTATTTCACTTATGATAACCTTCATTTCTTCCTTTATGTTGTTAACATACTCAATGAGTTCTTTGAGCATCCTTATCACCAGTGTTTTGAACTCTGCACCTAATAGGTTGGTTATCTCCATTTCATTTAGTTCTTTTTTTCTGGTGTTTGGTTCTGTTCTTTCATTTTAGCCATATTTCTCTGTCTCCTCAATTTGACATCCTCCCTGTGTCTGTTTCTGTGTATTAGGTAGAGCTACTTTGACTCCCTGTTTAGTAGTATGGCTTATTGTAGAAAAGTAACCTGTGAATTGCGTAGGGCGGAACCTTAGGTAATCGCCAGGGTGGAACAACCTGCTTCTGCACTTTGCGGCTCTGTGTGGGGGGAGGGTTCAGAGAGAGGACAGTGCTGCTGCCTGGCTTCTGGAGGTTTGCCCAGCACTCGCCCTTTCTCCAGTTTTATCCACCACATGTGAATGTGGGACCTTTCAGTCAGCCACCACAGCTAACCACTCCATGCCACACCACATCTCCTCACATCTCCACCCTTCTCCATGTGTCCACCCCTCCTACCTATCTGGATGAATGTGGCCTTTTAAAATCCTTGATTGTTGGAATTTCATACACTTTGATTTTTGACAGTTCCGGGTGTTATTTGTTTTGAGATTTAGT